GTCTAATTCTCCAACTCTTTTTCGAGAGGTTCCATTCGTTCGAATCATATTTTGGAGAGACAGATGACTACAAGGCAATCTCGGAGAAATATCAATCTTAGAAGGTTACTAATTCATCGTCTGAAGATTGCTACCAATTTCCGCAGCACAATGCTATTTGATACAAAAATCGGAATTCAGGAACGCCACTGACTGCGTGACTGCGCCATGTCTGATATGGTCTTCAGATATGGTCTTCAGATCTTTAAGGCAGGGAACTTGGTGATAGGACGCGGCACATCTCACGAGATCGTACAAACTGGCATTGGTAACTTGCTTGATTCTGTGCGTACAGCCCGTCTGACCCCAAAGTTTAGGGCTGGAAATTACTGTATGTACCATTCGACACTATCGAGATTCAGCAAGTAAAAGCTGTGATGAGTTCCGTGAAACTACTTACATCCAGCCAGTAGGCAGTGTAAGAAACGTTATAAAGCGTGATCCTCAGAATTAGGTAGGTATCCTAGGCACGGAAACAAACGGTACACAAGATAAGGCTTGATTGCTGTCGCTGAGGAACGTTTGCAGCAACTGCAAGGTTGCACAAAGTTCGGTTCAGTTGAGCAGTTATGATTGGAGCATCGAAGTGCGGTGGATTCAGTTGCCACCACCCACATCGCAAGGATAACATTAAATAAAAACGACAAGATAGTTGGGTCGAATGCAAATAAAGTAGACAAAATAGAAGGTGTTAAACTGAGCACAAGAGAATGAAAACTAACAAACTGACGAAAGAAGCCGAATGTACGAACGCCGCTGACTGCGCCATGTCTGATATGGTGTCCAACCATTGGTGTGGACTGTCCCGAGGCCCCCATTCACGAAGACGGCACGCACCAGCCTGATCAAGTCTCTCAGTCAATTTCTTCGTGTCTCTATGCCACGTCAGGGACTGGCCACCTCGTGGTTTCGCCCAAGTTGGTGCAGCCACGGCGTATAAGGCACACCGAGGAAGCCGTTCAACGGGGCATACAGAGGACACCGCCTAGCCGACACAAACGACTATGATTTATCAGACACTCGAGAGAGGTACCAGGAGGATTTTTGCCAAAAACCGACTGTCAGACCTCAACCTTGCTCATCCGATGTTCCCACGAAACGTGAGCAACACTCCGCAAGCATCGGTGGTCAAACACGGTCAAACGTTTGATGTCTTCGCTGCAAACTACCCAAGTCTTTGATCCATACAGTAAGATCAGCCTTACTGCATCGCTATACACACTACCTTTCACTGACAGACTTATATCCCGCCGTCTCCTTAGCTAGTTGTCTCTGCAAAGCCACACTGGCCTTACTGCTACGCGAAGTAACTTAGTGATGTGGCCACCAGAGGTGACCCAGCCACCAAGTTAGGTGAACCGATCCACCACTTACAGCAGCTGCTCGGAAATAGCTAAAACCGGAGGTATGTCTGCAATAATTCGCACTTTGAAGATGCAAAGCACATGCTGATGTGTGCGGCGCTACGCGTCAGCCTATCCAGTAGTGTTTGTATAGTGACTGGATCAGACCTAAGGAGAAGGATGTTGTCCGCATACTCCAGGTCGGTCAAATGCCACAGCTTCACTCTGGTAGAGTCTGAAAGAACCGAGTCATTCATGATCATTTCTATCATTAAGTTGAAGAGGAAATGAGATATGGTGAACCCACTTGTTGTGTGGAACTCAGGAGACAGTTTCCTTTACACGTCTTCGGGAATCATGGTAGAGGGACTTCAGAATGGCAAGGAGTTTAGTTATGACGCCCTTCATGGATATGCAGTGCCAGAAGCTGCTCGATGAACAGTGTCGAAGGCAGTTTTCAGGTGAAGAAAAACCACCATTATCGATCGTCTGTCTGTTTCTCTGCCCTAAAACTTTGCGAAGAGTGAATATGTGCTGGATGAACGGATGGCCGATTAACAAATCTCTTGGCGACAGGCTTCTTTGTGGACTGCTACTGAACACAAACAAGGGGAATGGGCCACGCGGATGTGAACGATCTTCGTGAATCACCCCGCGTCCTTGCGCGTCTGGTCTTTGTGACCAAGAGCTTGAAGTGGGTTTCCTTTAGTCAACCCTCTTTCTCGGCCTATGTATCCGTAAAGATCTCTGCCCACATAACACGTATTCAATTTTTAATCCATTCCTTTGGCTAACCTTTTTCTCTCATTTTTGTCGTTGTTAACTATGTGTTATGACACTGCCAATTGCATATTGGACAAGTGTTGAATAATAAATCTTATGTGGTCGATGCAACTACGATTACAGCGGAAGCAGTGGGTCGTCGGAGAATGATACCCGTGAAAAGTATGGATGCATCAGAAACAAAGCTAATGTCTCGATGATTATCACACAAAATTCGCCTACCCTTCTTGAAGATGGGCACGACAGTTGACAGTCGCACGTCTAAAGGGATTGCTTGATTGTTCCAAATCGTGTTAAGCAGAGAAGCAAGTCCAGTCATCGCTCTTCAAAATATTTCACCGAACGGGCTAGTGGACGACGTTGAGAATGGGTCAACTGCCCGTCTTTCTCAGTTATTGTCTTACGAACTGATGGCTTTTTCTGACCCGTGTTCAGGATGAACTGTTATAGCAATCGACTGTTCCCAGCAATACTGGCGTTCTCCTTTTCGCTGGCCCTTGCCATCCACCGATGTTCCCGGTCGATTCGAAGACTCCTTTTTAGACTTCGCTACAGGAGTTACGGACACGCTGAAACTCACTGCCATCGGAATCTGTTTCCGTGCTTCAATCAAAGTGATCGATGCCTCAATGATGCATTCGCAGTTACGACTTCTGAACTTTGGTGCACAGGATGCGTCATGTGCATTCTTCATGGCCAATTTGAGAGGATCCCAGTCAGTGTTCGGCTCATTGACATCATTCAATACTAATAATTAGTGGTCCCGTTCTTCATGATATTGTTAAACTGCAGATTACGATTTCAGGTTACAGGTAAGAAGGTTAGAAGATAGGCGATTCTTTGAAGTGGGAAAGGTGAGTGCCTAGCGTGCGCGCACTAAAGCATGGTCGGAATCCATGCACGTGCTTCAAATTGACCAACAATACTGGACTGATGTACATTATCTGTAGCTGATGGCAATATGGTCAATTTGGGTCCAGGACCTTGAGGAATTCGATGGACGCTAGGCGACGCGGTGTGAACCTTTGTGCCGGAAAGCAGTGCTACTGAGATAAAGATTATGGTCGGCGCACAGTGACAGGAATCGATCACGATTGTCTGTTCGGCGTGCATCGACTCCGAAGCGGCCGCCCATGTGTTGTTCGTAGTCTGTAAGATCCAACTTCTTTGTTGACCAGTGTTAACAGTCAATCACAATGTTGTCATTGCTGCGGTACAATGGGTTTTTCTTTGCCACTTAGTGACAATACCAATGTTTGTTGAAAATTATTATAGACGGGTCAGATTCGACCATCGGTGCTCGCCAAGTATTATTCCCATGTGCTGGAACACGAAATCAGCAGGCACGATGTTTACTGTTTATTTTTCGAGGACCAACTCATTCTATTCTGGTCAGGCTTTTCATGTACTGGCTTTGCATTTTTTCTTTGTCAATTATCATGTGGCCATGTGAGAGTCAAAGTAAAGTCTGAGCAGTGTTTATAACATCTTATTCGTCAATCGTAAGATCATTGATAATAAGCGCAACTTTCCAGCCCTCTTCCGACCTTGCAGCTTTTCAGCGTTATTTCTCATTGTCGCGTCTCATGCCGTCTGCTTATGGTCATTCACTCAACCGTGCTGTGCGTCCACTGTGCTCGGTCTAACTCACACCTGTCTCGTCTAAGGGCACGTGGTCCATGCTAGGCAGCGCCTTTTGTGTGTTGTTGATTTAGCCCGTGCAATTGTCGTTGCATGTTTTGGGTACCTTTTGCTTCGCTTCCTCCTGCACCTCTCCACCGACTACCCTTACCACTCGCTTTGGAAGTTGCACTGCGTTGTATTCGGCCGAAGCCCTAGTTTCACACCGTTTCCCATCTCCGTAGATAGATATCACAACCGTTTTACACTTTCTCGTTTTATACCTTTGGACCGGGTTTTGCATATTTCACCCGAACGCACTACACATGCCCGATTCACACCCAAAAGGGTGTTGTACCAATTGATTAACCTCATTGAAAACGATGTATTTTTGCGTTACTTTTTACTTCTAAGTAGCACGTTTATATGATAATCTGTTCTGATTTGACAGCCTTGAGGATAGCATCAAATCTTGCTGATTTAGCTCACCAAGTGTTGACTGGCTGTAGGTCTGTTGAACATCTGCCGTCACGTCAACCGCTGGAATTTGATGTATCAAGTCGTAGGCTATAAGCGGTCGAATCTTCTCGCCCCCACTAACAACCTTGCGTTGTTTTCCGTGATATGCTTGTTGCTACCGTCCTTCTGTAATAAGGTCTCCTATTTGAATTGCTTGCATACAGTGCGACACTTGCTTTTGAGATGACGCATTATAATGTAATATGAATTTGGTCCTCAGCATCCCTTGTATTTCTTTTGTGGCACAAGCAGGATTTCCTACATTCCATAGATCTCCATGCTAACCCATGATCATCCGCCAGTATTCTGTTCATATATCTGACTTCGCATAACTGCATGGCCTCTACTCGTCAGTTTTGTTTATTGACCTGTCAATAATAATGTTGACGCTCGACGGGATTAAAATGTCTAATCCTCACTGGTTAAGTAACTGCATACTAAGAACCTCATCGATACGCACTACCGAGGCGCGTCCTTTCGTTCTAAAACGCGTTACTGCAATATCGGTTTTTCCATTATATAAGTATTTCCCTAAGTTGTTTAATGTGTGAGTGATGCACATTATGTTGGCGTTTTTCCTAATTAGATTGCCTGAACTTCATATTTACAGTCTACATAAGTCCTTTTCCGCTTTCCTCTACCTTGCCTAGTTCCATCTTATTATCAATCATTTTTTTCCTTTTCTACACCTTTCAGTCGCTTACTCACTGACTGCGGCTTCGGAACGCCCTTGTTGGGCACGACTACGTCCACTGGCGCTTATTCATGTTCGGCGAACAAACCAGACATCGACACCAGGAACCTAATGAGCCAGCACAGAGCCCTGATATTTTTCCAAACCCGTGAGATGTTGGAGTTGACGAGTGAGGTTATCCGGTATGTTTCTTTTGAACTGCGCTCCTTTCGTACAAAACACAATCTAATTTACATGGCTGCTGTTTACCACCGCTCCCTTTTTATCCTACTACCTTAAGGACGCACTTCCCTTGGATCACATTCACTCGCCTGGATGGTTCCGTCCCCGTGAGCGAGCGACACAATCGAGTCATGCGGTATGCTGTGAATTTTCTATTGTTCCTCATCGAGCATTTATCATCCTCCTCCTTGTTGTTTGTCTTCAATTGACAATCCTATTTGTCAAATATTCCCTTGCTGAGCTCTCGTGCCGTCTGGACTGCTCGATGAGCTCGTGAATGTTATTTTGTGTTTTGTTACTTCTGCTCATTGTTTCGGAGGATGCGTGGTGCGCTTCGTGCCAGAACGATCACATTTCCTATATCCGAATGTAGCGGGTATTGTGGTCTGCCGAGGTATCTTTGTAGCAGCTTGTGTCATCCGCATCGTCCTTCCTGCCATCAGGCCGCATTCTCACGAGCTAATGCTCAAATTATACATCACTTATTGGAATGAACTGTTCATGTGCTCCAACTCAGCTATCATCGGCACGGCTCCCCCGTGTTTTCTCTACAGGATGTAAATACGCTCATCTCAGCACATCCTCACGGCCTGCATTTGCCCTTCTCGCGTCGGTCACACCAGTAAAAGACGTTTCATTCCTACCACTGTGAAAATCTCTGTGAAGCACCGTGAGTCACGGCTACGATAGTGGAAAATCATCGCTAGTGACCGTTCTGTTTTCCCTTTGACTAGTGTGAATTGACCCTGTACGACCAAACATGTGTACACGCCTTTTTTCCACTAGACAAAAAGCTTCTTTCCCTAACGAGGCATAAATCCTATGCAACATCCACTCAAGTAGGAGCATTACTTAATCCATGTTGGACTCACTTATTGAAACGAATGTAGGGTAAATGCCTTCGAAGATGCCGGCTATTTTGGTAGGGATAAGGTGTTTCGTGGTTTCGTCGAATCCTGACTGTCACACCGAAAAACATTCAAATGTTATTTTTCTGCCGTCACCTTCGGGAACTCCGATTAGTCATCGATGTCCCATGGACTGCACAGACCACAATGATGCATATCAGCAGTGTTTGACTTCAGTTTTAATTTTTCTGCACTGTAGCTTTCCTGGCAGATCATGCGTTTATGACGTAAGGTCGGATTCTGCCAGGAAGTATGGCGTACTCAGGTGACTCGACTCTCGTACCGCAACTTGGCACTTTTCAAGACGGCTGCAGATTTTGTTTATCAAACCGATGTAATGTAGAGTTTAAAGCATCAACAGCACCTCGATACCTCTTACCGATGCTCCGGTGTCGCGCACTCGCCAGTGAATGCATGCTGACTGATATACTCGGAGGTTGCTTCTATCTGCGCTGGTTCGAGCCAGTGACTTGCGTTATACGACGCTGTTCTTCCGGTGGGCCAACATCGTAGACACTATTCACGCTTTCGTTTTATCTTAAAAAGTTTACCAGTGGATGTGCCATGCGTTTCTGCCAAACCGTTGGGAGCAGAGCTGCGAATCATCGACAAAAATCAACTAGAATAGGGGACGCTCGTCATTATCGACCTGATATCCGGTGCCAATGACTTGTGGAGTAAGTCTATTTATTTTCAACTTAACGCGACATTTTGACTAATACTAATTGGAAGGACAATTTTTTCAGTCCTCTCTGTCACTAATACCATAACATCTACCTACTGGGCGTTGCTTATCCATTCGGCTTGGTCTTGTACATCCGTTCCAGGCATAACCTGGCCTATCGGCTTACTACTCATCAGAAGATTATGGTGCGATTGTGCTACTAGAATAGTCGGGCCTACTCTTAAATTTAACCACAGGGTGCGACAGACGCGACTCGTCTAATGGCCTCGGTTGGCGAGTTAAGAACTAAATCTTTCAATGCTACTCTAATGAGTCACCTGCTTTTCAACAGCGACTGTGGACGAGAATTTGCATGCGGATGCTTGTATATACGTCACAAGGTAAAGTGGTAGATTATGTGACTACCTTTCATGGTACTAAATGTGTTGATTACTGCAGGCGATGCAGGACCTGGTCAAACATGAACTGGCATAGTCATGTGCCCCCACGAAGCGTACGATCGCATAGCGGTGAAGGTTTCCATTCTGCTGATGATGATTATTTTGTTCGAACTAGCTGTGTTTCGAAGACCACTGATTGGAGCGTTTTTGTCTTTTTTCTGACTGTTTTGGACTACACGAAAGGAGCTGTAGCAACGAGCAGTGAGACCGAGTTTACTGCTTTTTCTCCAACTGAATCTGCTGATCAAACAAATTTGCGTTGCATAGAATCTCCTGTTGCGGTCGCATAACATGGTGATATTTTTATGCGCTTTGGAAGTTCTCCGGAGCTTGCGTATTCCACATGTTTCCCTTCCAGTACATACTGGTTGCCATTGCTTAAACCCGATCATCTTGCTCCTGACTATCCCTATGAATCTCTCAAAGGTATGCTTTGTTGAGTCTTCTGGCAGTTGAATCTCACTGACACAATCGTTTTTTTCTACCATAAGCTGTTGCATCAGAATAGTTCCTCCGGGTTTATTCTCTGGAATACTAGAGTGGTACAAGTTTTGACTACTCGTTTCAAGCGAGAAATGAAATGTTCTAGTATTTTTGATTATTCATGTCTCGCTGGTTGAATTGTTAAGCTTCCTGCTAAAGCCTTGTGCGGAATATACTGTAGCTATGATTCAGTACATCCGTTGCTTTCGGTAGCCGCTTGACAATCCCGTGTGTCAACGTAGCGCCATCCTTCACCACCAAACATGGAGTGGAGTCTTAATTATTACCTTTCTTTCTCGACGACGGTTGTTGGCAGTAACTAGATTGACTATCAAAATCTGGTGCTAGTCACACATCACAAGTTTAGGATGCAGAGTCGGAAACACCATTACGGTGGTTCGTCAACAGTACACCCTTGTAGTTGTAAGCGGGACTACCCTGTCTACATCGCAAACTTGCGGTTCCCCGCTCCACATACACCCAACAAACGAGACAAGGTGTACATTGAGAGGAGGCCTACATGAGGGTTTTATGATTATTAATCGTCTGCAACTCAGGTTAGAGGCTAAATATAATCGACTCCCGGTGCCTTCACAGTTTGGCTCATATCTGGTGGGAACACCATGTGAACAATGAGCATATTTGACGCCTTGTTTATGGCACAGGAAGAAGAAGAAGTTATCCGCCCATCACCAACAGGCTCCGATGGTTGGGCCACGTGTTGCGCATGCCAGCGAACCGACAACCGCGACGTACGTTGTTTACGCGACCGGGGTGTGGATGGAGGAAGAAGAGGAAAGACCAAATGATAACTTGGTCAAGAAGAATGGATGTAGTCCTTTACTTCGAAGTTGGCGTCGTTTGGTGTATCCCTACAGCCTGGCTGGGGTGCGAAAGACGATGAACATGCTTGATTGGATACAGTTGTTGACATAGCTTGGAGGCTACGTCATTGGTGTTTGTGTTTAGTTTCTTTATCCATCCACTTTCAACCACTGTGTTATTCCGGACGCTTAATATATTTTTTGCGGCACAACCGCTGGTTTTTAGCTCTCTACAACGATGTCCATCCGATACTGGTGCCTCAACAGGAGTGCTTGTGTTGTATCTTTTTCTCTTTCGCATATATTGCTGCAAAGTACCCGAGGTGTTTCCCACCTCTATCTAACGTGTTTAATGAATAAGTAATGAACAACAAAGACAGATAGGTGTTGAGTTATCTCACCGCTAATCAGCCGTTTCCAAAAGCCGTCGTCTCTGCTGGTTGCGTGTTTTTGCGTACAGGGACAAAGAGGGGCCATGATGCCGTTACATGTAGACGGCGGTTTACGGTCCCCTTCATCTTCCGAGTGCTTTCACAAATGTTGTGACCGCATATGCCTTAGGGTATTTACTGCATCCTTTTGGATCCGGATGAAATGGGATGGTTTTCCTTTAACTCTGTTTAACGTGCGAGCTCAAAGCGCTGTCACTTCTCTCTGTGAGGGCCTAACCACACACAATGTTTTGGATATACCTTCGTTATCGCTGGATACTTTTCGTTAAGATGTTTCCCCCAACCGGAATGGTTTTCAACATGTCGTCCGGGCTTTGCTGTATGTACTGCTTTGACTTCGTAAAATCACCCTAATTTTCGCGTTTCGGCGAGGCGCACCAGCCAGTCATACTGCCTACCTACCACTTACTTTTTTGACAACCATGAAATCAGCCTTCTAGTGGCATCATCTCGTTTTGATCCTCTTCTGTCTACCACCAAATTTCTCATTGTGGTAATGTCCTTCTCGATTCCTTACTTGTCTCCTAACTATTAACACCCCCAACAACCATTTCACAACGTTTTACATCCATAACACAAAACGGCGGAATTGAGATTAGCATACTTTAATTGCTCCACTGCTTTCTCTCGACGAATTGCGAAGAGTTACAACAAGGTTTTCTAGTCATGTGTGATGACAATATATCATCGCGCCCAGAAAAAGGACGCAGTAAGCTAAAGACGAACATTTGTCTTCGATTGCTACTTCGTCAGCTTTACACAGTAATACACATGGAGACAATGTTGACTTTAATACGTTAGTACCAAAAGGAAATAACTGCTCACATCCTTGAAAGTGAGATCACAGTGTAGAGTGGACAGCCTATCCAAAACGCTTGGCGTGTTAGGCCGGACACTTTGAGAATCAATTCAATCAGTCAGTTACCGGCTATTGATCACCCTACTCCCTGAACCGTTCCCATCTATCGGCCCTCACGCACAGAAATTGGACGTGAGATCAGACTTTTGAAATTGAATAAGGCCGCATGAGCAAATAGAATTCCTCCAGCCCTCTTCAAATTCTGTGGACCTGCTCTTGTAGATGATTCACACAAGCTACTAGTTAAACTTTGGGAGTAGGAAACTGTCTCGACAAATTGGATCCGCTCCGTTATATTCCCAATTTTCAAGGGTGGTTCCCGTTCTGAATGCGGCAATCATAGAGCGATCAGTCTGATCTCAGTTGCCTCGAATATGCTTGCGTCTGTCGTTCTCCACAGACTGACTGGTACTCGTGCAACTCAGATTCGCGAGGAGCATGCGAAGTTTCATCGAAATCGATGATGCATCGACCACACCCACTTT